AGTGAGAGGTGGTGGGATGCCGCATGGCCAAAACTGTGCAGAAAGGGGACACGGGTGCAAGAACGCAGACGCCCAACCTTCAGTCCTAGCCACTGCATCATGCGTCCTGGGATGTGCACGGAGCAGCCCCTTCCCCAGTGGGCCATGCGACTAGCCCCATTGCCTTCGACAGTTCAGAGAGTTTGTCCACTGGTCTCTTTAAAACCAGAGACAACACTTACGGCTTCTCTTGGGGGGAGGGAAAGCAGTGATGGACAGGATAATGTGGAGGCATCTAGAGCAGTGACCTTGCTTATGGCATTAAAGAGCTAATTGAAGGACTGAACATTAATACATCAAATGTCCACTAAATCCACACGCGCTGACTGCGTCCAACATTACGAAAACAATCCCCTCAAGCTGGCGGCAATGGTCCCTGAATACAAAGCGCTGATAAAGAGGGAATGGTCCAGAAATGCCTACGCGTGTACCGCACAACGCCAAATGAAATAACACTTATCTCTGGAGCTGCCACTCACCCTATCTCTTCCCTTTTCAACCCACATAATTATTGGCTTTAAAAGGGGAAGAAGGGGGGGGATTTTTTGTGCTTATAAAACTGATTAAAGGCATAATTAGCTTGACGACGGCTGCTATAAAATATTATCAGATAGATAAACTCTTTGTGGTGGAAACGCCACAGCTGCTGCCAGTTATATACATGCCAGGGGACACGCCATGCTCTTGGGCTCAGACCTGCGCCGCGGCTTCTCCGAGTTAACCGCCCTTCCTAGCAAGAGGGGCCATCCAAGAGAAACAGCCGACTCGGGGGGGTTATATCGCCCTTCTCAAGCTGTGCCCCTGCTCATCGGGCCTCTGCCCTCTGCTCCTAGCAAGTCCTTGGCCTGTTGAGATGCATTTCTGAGAGCGCCCTGTCAAGCACTCGGGCTGCTGACGTCCTCCACGTCTTCATTCTCCGCATTCAAGCAGCATCGCAGCCCAACCGGTGCTCTGGCCAGGTCCCCACAGCGCCGCAGAGGCGACCAAGCGGCCTCCGAGTTGCGGTCTGCTTTGTGCCCCCGGCATTTCCTCGGAGAATAATGGAAAAGGAGAAAGCAGGTTGCTTCCAGAAGGCTGGCTGGATAGAAGACTAAATCCTGAAGCCCAGGGGAGGCAAATCTTCCCGGCACAAACAAATAAGGACACAACTTCATTCCTCATTTCCATGCACAACACGGGAAATATTTATTACAACTAAACAGCCAGCTTAGCTGGAGCTTTGTCGGCTGGGCCGTCTGCTCCGCCAGCCACTGTGGGAAGGGAGTTTTTATATGTTCACGTTCGTCAAAATGGTTCCAGTATTATTAAGATCCAGGCAGGGACAATGTGGTGATGCTCATTTAAAAAGAAACATGGACCACGACAGCAATGTCGCTGGTCATAACAAGGCTCCTTTCAGGTGGGGATGGCTGGGCACGTTGCAGGGATCTCAGGATTAAATAAACTGCAGGAGCTCCGGGAAGAAATATTATACCAGCTTTGGCGGCGAGGAGCGGAGGAGCGGAGCAAAGCAGCAGCAGAGCCAAAAACAGCCCCAGCAGCCCCGGTCCCCCTCCGAGCCACCAGACCACGCGCTCGTCTCCAAGCACAACAGTGCTATTTTCAGGCCAGTCTTTTCCCCAGCATTGAAAGAGCAGAGGCGGCTGCACCCACGGCAGGAGCCGGCTCCATATGGGTCCTTTCCAG